ATTGAAAAAAGATATAAGCGGAGTTGTAAAAGATGTCTGCTGAGGTGTACAGAAGGAAAGGGAGGATGAGTTGTGAATTACTGGGGTGACAGGCTTTAGTGACCTTGGAGATGGGAGGTTGCTTTCTGATGAAGTCTGTGAACCCAGGCCAAAATGCCCTCTAACTGCCGAAATTGTCCCTTTGATGGGTTTTATATTGTTTCTTTGCTTCAAATTGGCTCTGGTTTTTATTTTGTTTCTTTAGCCAGGAGTGGGTGCTATTGAGTGGAAATTCTGGATTGCATTGCTTATTTTTTCTTTGAGTCTGTGAGTAAAAATGGAAGGTATGTGTGAAGCCTTGCACAGTTGATGGAATCTTAGTTCAGTTTTGGGTGTTCAGGGTGTTCACATCTGGCCATTGGTGAAAATTAGTCTAGCATGAATCAGAAGAAGATTTGGTTTTAGGAAGAATATAACATATATATATATATATATATATATATATATATATATATATATGAAATGGACAAAGTCCAAAAATTATTTAAAGACATTTTTATGTTTAACATTCTTTTTATAGATACAAGTATTTTGGTAAATGCTCTGTTTATAATAAACAGTATTAAATAACATTTACCAGCCTGAATGTCCGAGAAATTTTCATAGAAAATATTCGTCCTTTGACAGGATTCGAACCTGCATCCTATACGGAACCGTCATTTAGCTTGATGTGCCTAATCGCTCGGCCACAAAGCAGTAAATTCGACCTTGCCAATCGAACGATTCTGTCTCTTGTACACTTCATGCTCTGTCATGTAGTTAACATTATTCAGATTGTTATTAAGCAGCTGTTTTTAATTTTGCAGCACCTGAGTTTATCCATATTTTCTGTGTTTGTAACATTTTTCACAGAATTTACAGATACTATATTCAATATTTAACTATTTCCCTGTGGAAATTGACTGATACATGATCAGTTTATCATGAGAACCAACACACATATGTCTATATAGAAAATTTACACTGTTCCTGAAAGGAGCAATCCCATTCAGCATTTTCCATGCCAAGCCATTCATGCATTTTACTATTTTGGTATCTTCCATATGTTGGAAAATGTCCACTCCTAGAATTCCTTGAATGTTTATTTGATTACTATTACTATTATGAGAAAAGGTTAATTTGTAATTTAATCTGGTCAAATTGGTGATCACTCGTCTGAAATCATCAAACTTGAATTGAATATTAAATTTATCATTCAACAAAATGTGAATAGGAAGTAATTTCCCTTTGCCCACATTCACTTTCAATATGATTTGGTATAATTTCTTATTGGAATCACACTTGTATAAGAAATCACCAGGACTTAGTTTAATATTCCTTTTGAGAAATACGACCACTAGCTACCTGTGTTTAATAAACAGTTTATAAAGACTTAGCACCCCAAATATAATGATAGGCAGCATTAAATTATTTTCTTCATTTGAATTGGTATTGACATGAGTAAAAAAAGATATTCTCTTCTTACAATTATCACATAATGGTGTTATAAGTCCTTTAGATGAACATAGTTTACAGAAAAGGAATAATTTATTCTGAAGTCCAGGGCAATATTCAACCTGATGTCTGCTACTGAAGCATCTAATACATAAAATCAATATTTACATCTCTTAGCTTGAGTCTCATAAATATCATATTTTGTACACCTTCCCATGGAGTAACCATGTGAAGCACAAAATTTACATGATGTCCCATTAGAGTTAATGGTGAAATTCTTCAATGCTACACTATTATTTTCCTTTTCATCGGAATTATTATTTTTAGTATCTTTTTCATATACAGAAAAGGGCTTCTTATTCTTCGCTAATGTGTGGATGGCTTTATTATAATTCTCAAATACATCCCTTAAGGATGGACAACTGCTACCTACCCTGTGAATGATTTCCCACCTTAAATTATGGGGTAGCGTATCAAATATGATGAGGCTTATGAGTTTGAATCCAAGGGAGTCTTCTTCAAAAAAATTATAACCATACAATGTTCTTAACTTGGACAAATCAGCCCTCACTTTGGTAAGGTAATGTTTAAGTCACAAAATCAGGGTTGTATTTAGGAGAACTGCTTATTATTTGTTTGAAGATCTCATGAATTATAAAACGTACATCCAAAAATTCTTTCTTTAACAAACTTACAGCTAACTTGTAATTGTTTTCTTCTAAAGTAAGATTTGATATTAGCTGTAGAGTGTAGCCAGCTTTAAGAGTTTTGCTTTGTTAGAATTAATGGAATTTTTGCTTTTTTAATGGAAGTTTTGGCTTTGTTAGAATTAATGGAATTAGTACAGTTGTTAAACTGCTATAAAATTCTTAAATTCACATTTAGAAGGACTAACACCACAAAAAGTAGTTCAATGTAATTTAGGAGTTGGGATCATTGAATGGCTGTTGCTTAAGGAACTAGCTTTGCTGCTGTGGGAAATACTCGTTTCTCAAACAGATTGTTCAATATCAGCAAGCCAATTACAGACACTGACTTGAAAACCAAATTCATTCCTTTGTTCAGTCATAAAACCACTTTGGTACAAATCTCCTGGATTTTATCATCAAAGCTCAAATTTCTCCCTGAAGATTGCTTCTCCCTTTTTAAAAAAATTTTCCTTTAAGTTTTTATCTTGCTCCAGCAATTCCAAACTTAAATTAATACCCTTTTTTAAATTGTTCTTAGCGTCAATAAGGGCCTTAACTCCTTGCAATTATCCATCTTGAAATAGACAATGAATTAAAATTATATTTTTATTTTTTCTTCTTATATTTTGGACTCCACTTGTCTGGATTTATTTCACTGAATGGTGAAGAAAGACAGAAATTTATATATGTATTGGACGCCATGTATCCATAATAACTTCATTGAATGGTGAAGACAAAATTATTTTAATTATATACTTTTGAACTCCTTGTGTTTGGATTAACTTTACTGAATGTTGAAGGCAAAATTCCTTCTATATTTTTTCTCATAAAAAAGACAGTAGATTAGGAGATATTTTCTCTCATATATAAAAAACCAACCAACTAGAAGATATATTGTCTCTCGATGTGTTTATGCTCAAATTTGTCGTTTTTTTAACTATTCTCTGTCATCATGCCAACAAAATTGCTTTATGTGTTTGGCAAATTGATCACACATATATATAGAAAATTCTTTTTTTTGTTTAGTGAAATAATTGGCAAAATTGCTTACTTGCAAATACATTTTTAGCAAAATGTGAAAAATTTAATGATTCCCTAAATTGAGTTGTGGCTTGATGAACAAGAATGAGACAAGTGAACATTGTCAAAAGATACTTTATATAAGAAATACATTACATAATGAAAAAGAATAAAGGATTACTAAAAACGTATTCTTTTAGCAGTTAAAAGTTATGACATTGGAGATGATATCCAAAGCATGTGTCGGTTTGAAATAGATTAAACACTTATCTGAAGCTGTTCATATTCTGCTTCCATTAGCTGCTTGTCCTTGTATTATTCAGGTTTGCCCATGGCCAGCATTGCCTGTTCTTTTAGTTGGCTGAAAATATGTCTCTCCTGTTCATGATCACCTCAGCCTCTATCTTGCCATCTAAAATCTGTTTTGTGCCTAATTTGGGGTCATACCATGGGTCCGACCTATTATCCACAGGAGTTATCTGCCAAAGGGAGATAACCTATATTTTTATAGTAATTGTGTATCTACATAGATGGGAATATTTTTTTTTTATTTTCCAAAAACATATTAAATTTGAACTGAGCATTTTTCTGTTAAATATTTGTGCACATATATCTACTAACAGGTCCCTGCACCTGATGAAAATAAAGAACAATGTATCAAATAGTCAGTTCACATGGAGTCTGAGTACCATATTGATGTAACAGTCTAAGTTGAAGTAGTTAGAGGAGTCATTAAGAAATCTTTCTCTGTCTAGTTTTTTGCTAGAAAACTATTGTCGTAAGAAGAAAAAAACTGGATTAAAAAAAAAAAAAAAGAAGGAATTTTTGTAAATCACTCCTATTTTAGATTCACATTTTATCTACTTTTTCTTTTAGGACAGTTTGAATATTTTTACTGGGCCAAATTTTTACCTCCTCAACCTTCCACAAATTATTAAAACCCTTTTTTTAAATAAATTATTCTATTTTATTGGTAAGAATAAATATTTTTATATGAAATTGTTATTCATTTTTTTTAAACTCACTTTTAAAATTTTATAATAAAAATCACATTTTAAAAATAATGATGCAGTCAGTGATAGACAATAATATTTTTGTTTGAAAATGAATATCATCACAAAGAAATTGTAAAAAATATCAAATATTTATAAAAGGTGAATCCAAAGAGGATAATGCTGGTATTTGAGCCATGTATTAAATTTTGAACTGAAAAAAAAAAAAAAAAAAAAAAAAAATGAAATTATTACTTTGCCATTATTAGTGTTTAAATTAAACACTAATAATGGTAAAGGAAGAATTATGATTTGAGCAAAATTACCTTTTGATTAAACATTTTAATCAAAAAAGTAATTTTGCTCAAATCATAATAATATTCTTCCTTAGTGTTTTGTAAAAAAAAAAAAAAAACATATCATTACACACTAGAGTACTGATATGATTTTTTACAAAGTTTACAGTTACTTAACAATAACAAAACAATAACATTTATTATTTTTTTAGTTTTATGCTTTGTTTTTACAAAAAGATGTTTCAGGTCTCACTAGCTCAGCACTTTTGATGAAGAGGATGGAAATAATACGAATATCAAAACAAAGTATACTGTTAGAAATAGGTGTGAATCGTTTCCCCGAGAAAGTAACGTAAAACAATTGTTGCGTTTTTTGTTTTGTTTTTTTAAGGTGACTTGTTGTAATCAAGTATCAAGCTAGCGGCCCACGCCTGAGATTTGTCAGACAGTTTGATGCTAACCGACCTTGACTGTGAACAGCCAACTCTTGTCCTTGACAGGAGACAGAGATTTTCTGGTTTTCCAGCAAGATGAGGAATCGAAGTAATTCTGGAGTTCGATTAGATTATTACTCCAGACTTGTAAACAAGACAATCCTTGCACATCAGGTAAGTGATTTTCAATTATAACAACCAATCTCCGTCCACATTTGATAATTATTCTTTAGCGTCGCACTTAAATAAAACAAAATAAAAAAAAACAAAAACGCCTTCATAGTTGTTGAAGGCGTATATGGTTTCAAACAAGCACAGGAATTGTAAATACAGTGGAAATATAACCAAAACTTCAATTCTTCTAGTTAATAAAGTCTAGCGACTAAGTTTGTTTTACTTTAGCTAACAATAACAATTTTATTTAAAGTTAAAGCCGAAAAAACTCAGGGTTACTTTTGCAATTGCAGTTTGCTTATCCTTTTTTTTTTTTTTTTTAAAACAAAACAGCTATCTTAGCAACTGTATTAAATAAAATGTAGTATTTTCTTTATATAATGCATTTAAATTTCCTTAAATTAATAATAATAATAGGTTAGGTACGCCGGTACTCTTTATTTTGTCATTTAAAAGAATTAAGTTCAAGTACGAGGGGGAAATAAGTGAAAAAAAAGTTTTGCTTTCGGCATAACATTGTTTTTAAAATTCTAATCCCGTTCATTCTTCAAACTACAGGCAAATACATATTGTTAAAATAAATTAAATCTTTCTTTTTTACTGACGCAAACTTGTAAGGGAAAATTATTGAAATCTCAACCACCCCCCCAAAAAACACTGTCTTGAGTGAGCGAATATTTTGATTGAATAGAGAGTGATTAAATCAAATCTGATGAAAAATCATTAGCAAGAGTTCAAGAGAACCAATTAACCAAAGTTATTTCAAGTTAAATAAATGGAATATGCTAAAAATAAAAAAATAAATTATAACTTTTTTGTTATCAACACGTGTTTGTTTATAGTTCAAGTTGAGTGTGAAACAATAATTGTTGGATAAAAAGTAAAAAAAACTATTAATAAATAGCGACGGTGAATAAAAATGTTTGTTTTTCTATCGCTTTCATTTTTTTAAATTTTGTTATTATTGTTGATAAAGCTGTAAGTGTAAATAATAAAAAAAAATGTGAATATTTGAAAGTTGAACATTTTTTGTCTTGAGTTCCACTCCAAACAAAGACTGGCATAATGGAAAAACAATTAGCAATTTAAAAGAAAATTTAAAAAGATTGCAACCTTCTTAAAAACGAAATGATGTGTTTTTAGTTTCAACTTCAACTTACAAAATATTCTCTAAAATTAATTAAAATATTTTATGATTCTGCAACATCTTCGTCATTTTAGGTGGGTTTTTTTTTTTCAGTATTTTTTTTAAGAATTTTTAAAATGTATTTCTACCAGACTTTAATTCGAAAATTATCAGAAGTGCCACAAAAACGAAAAAAAAAAAAAAGGATTGTTTATTACTTGTCAATCATGGTTCAGAAAAACATTAAAAATTGTTAGTCGAAAATAGTTCTTCAATTCTAAATAAAACGATAGTAATTTTGATTAAAACAAAAAGGGCTGTTTGGAGTTGGAATTTTTAGCTATTCAAGATTTTAGCCCCGAAATAAAAAATAAAAAAACTCTCATAAGGATCTTATTCTTTTGAAAAAAGACCTATTGTAATTTAGTACCCAGCTACTAAAACTTAAGTGATTAATCATTCTAGTAATTTAATTAGTTCGATAATGATACAATAAAGGTGGCTTTATACATCAATAAACTTCGTTTGTCTATATTTTCTAATTGGTTCGATCACTTCAATAAATCACATCTTCCATGGCCCATAATTCAATTTCTCTTCTAGATAAAAATAAGTGTCAATTTTTTCTTGACATGTAACAATCAATGGTTCTTGGTTAATAATTATATTAAAAATGACTTGATTACAAAATTTAGGTATATTTTTTTTAAGTTTTCAAAGCTTACAAGTTATAACTGTTAGTGTTAAAAAGTGTTTTTAGTTACAATTTTGGTACTTTTTTTCTTTTCATAGTTTTTTTTTAACCTGAAACTAAGAAATTTCATATTCTTACATTGATGAATGAAAACTAATAATAATGGCTGACTACTTATTTCCGTTCGTCTATGCATCGCATTTTTATTTTTCAACACCCACAGAGCTAACCTGCAATTATGATGAGAGTATTTTTCTAGCTGAGAGTGCATAATCTGGCGTGATCACTGGTTGAACAAGGCCAGTACATTTGAGCCCTCATTACAGTGATTTGTGACCTTGTGCTGGCACAACAATCAACAGCTTCTGAACATTTTCATCTACAAAATTTCACTCACAAGGCTTAGGTAAACCTGTAATATGGTTTACACTGGCACTTCTCAATGGTGGTACACCCTGGTATCATCTGCGAATATACCATATTCTTGACAAATCAATCCTGGTAAAACTTGAATCCAGGTTTCATGGTCAAAATGCTAGCTTTTACATTTTAAATAATCTGTACATTGCTGCCAAAGAGAATTTTGCTAAATGTTTGATTTAACTTTTTGATTTTTCTTTTGTGTAATACTCTTGCTTAAAAACCTTGTGTTGGAAAATATTACATTAAGCTAATAAATGATACTGTTCACCAGGTATAGGAGTATATCAAATAACTCAGGGAGTTGAAAGTCCCTGCCTTCCATAGTTAATTACCTCTTGGAATGTCAAAGGTGGGTGACTTGTCATGAGGGGAGACTGATCAGGAAAAAAAAAAAACTTATGAAAAATTTCAATTTTTATACAAATTGAATGAAATTGATGAAATGCCATTAAATAGAAAAAGATACTGTTGAATTTTTTTTTGTGTGTGCATGTATATAATATATATATATATATATATATATATATATATGTATATATATTCATCAAGTCTAGAAAAATCCTCTGCAGAAAGCATTGGACAGCCATTTCATCCTATTTGGGATTCATGAACAGTGTGCATCCACTACTGAGAATCAAACCCAGATTGTTATGATGTAATGCAAGCATCATGCCATTGGACCAATGGGCCTCGGTGACAAAGAAGAAACTGACTAGACTGTATAATGCTGCTACTCACTAAATTCACACACAAAAAAAAAATTGGTGAGGTTTCAAAAGGAGTCCTTTTCCCTCCATTTTGCCAAGAAAAATACACAGAACATAGTCCAGAACATCTATAAACAGAAAAGGAGCAAGTGTATTGCCTTGTAGAACTCCTGCTTTAACTTCAAAGGAATCAGTCTTCCATCAGGCAATATAATGTTGGCAGTGGCATTTCTGTACAGAGATCTAATTGCCTCAAAAATTCTGGAGGGTATACCAGAAGAGTTCAAGGATTTTGAATCATGATATCTCTGTTGATGGAATCAAATGCCTTGTGAAAGTCAACAAAACAAATGAAGAGGATTTGAGCAATTGCCGACCTGTCTCTTCTAAATCCATTCTGGTTCTTGCAAAGGAGTGGATCAATGGTAGGGACAATCCTATTTAGAAGACACTTATTGTAAAATTTTGCATAAAATTTATACCCTTATAGTTTGCTGTACTTGTTTGACTGCCCTTTTTTTGGAACAGGGACAATTTCACCATTCAGCCAAGCTGAAGGTGGGGAATAGTGTATGAATGTGTGGTTGCAAAACTCTAGGAGGAGGTCATGAAGTATTGGAACTTTCACAATAATGTTGGTATGTTATCAAGACCTGGAGATTTGTTGTTGTCAAAATCTTTGAGTGTTGTTTTGAGTTCATCGAGCATGAATCAGTTGGTGTTTATGTCCAGTGTATTGGATATTTGATGTAGAGGGAGTAGAAGACCACTGACAATGTGACAGTTCTCCCAGGAGTTTCTTAAAGTGGTAAAACCAGTTAGCTTTATGTTTTTCAGTGGAACCACCTTTGAGCTAAATGGAAGGCTTTGATTTTCTTCCTGAGAGTATGTTTATTGCTTTCCAGTCTGCAGCATGTTGTTTCTCTGTATGCAGTCTTACAATCTTGTCACTCTCCCCATCAATGCACTCTGTATCTACATTGGCATGGGCCTTGTCTATTATTCCTTGTACTTTAGTGATGTCTTTTAAAAGTACTTCTAATTAGCTTTTGTTCATAACTTGGTTTCACTCTTTGCAGATCTTTTCTTGCCTTTCTCATACAGACATCTGATGTGGGTGTGCTGTAACTTTTGTCTCTTTGACATTATTGAGAGTGCAATTTCTTCTGTAGATGATACAAGGTGTTGTGTTTCAATGTCATCAGAATGATCAGAGAAAATTTCATAACAATTCTTAACATCTACAGCAAAGGAGTGTCTCAAAGTTCAGTTTGATGATACCTTGGACAAATCAATTTTGGGGAATTATTAATTCTTTTTGTTAGGGCGTGGTGATCATGCACCATAACAAAAAATGAATGAGCAGGTATTATTCTACATTTTCAGTTTTTCTTGTGAAAATTTTAAAATATACTTGTAAGGTCACCGATGTTCAGCTGCCAGCAACCCTAGTATGCGAGAGATTTCAGCTTACTCTATGATCTTGTTCAGTCTGTTCATTCGTATGGCCTATTTCTAATCTGGTCTCTCTTCTGCTGTCTATTCTCTAATTCTACATGTGCATTCATTTATATAGGAACTGTGAAGTACTGGCAAGGTTTAATCATTGATTTAACCCCTCCTAAGGTTTTCTTTATTCCACAAAGTTCTTACAGTTGTATAAAGATTTATATGAAAAATTGACAATTCTATGCCCCTTACTGCTATCTAGAAGTGAAGACTATCATCACCAATGAGATATTTGGATAGCCTTTTCTCAATATGTCTTGAATTTGGAGTCTATTTTTGCTCTGGGCAATAAAGTTTGAATGTTCTAGAAAAAAGGGATTGACAAGGAAAATTCTTCCTTTGGATTATTTTTCATCAGTCAGAAGCAAGGAATTCAAACCTATGATAATTTGAAATGGTGATTGAGTGATTCTGGTGACCGAAATATAAACAAGGTTGCTGACCAGTAAGGATCTTTCATGTGGTCAGGATGGATAGAACAAGAAGAAACTCTGGATAACATGACCAAAATTAACAATTTGTTCTGAAACCAAATAGACAC